GAGTGTGTCCCACCCCCCCACTCACCCTCTGCCCAGCCTCCGGATCCGCCCGGAATTCCAGGGAGCCGTTGAAGCTTCCGGAGTCTCCGTCTGTGGGGACGGGATGGGTGAGCCCCTGGGAGGATGGGGGGGTCCTGGGGGGGTCCCCAAATCCCCCCATCCTCCCAGACCCCCCCCCCTCTTACTGCTGGCGCCGGGGCTGGGGCAGCTCTCGCCCTCGGGGGGGTTGTTCTGGTTCGGATCCCGATCCCGATCCCGATCCCGGGCGCATCCCATGAAAATCTCCTTCAGGCTCTCCACTGTGGGGGAGGGGCAGCGTGAGACCCCCCCCATCCCATCCCAGAGACTCCTGGGGCATCCCAGAGCATGCATCCCATCCCGGATCATCCATCCCATCCCATCCCATCCCATCCCATCCCATCCTGGATCATCCATCCCATCCCAGATCATCCCATCCTGGATCATCCATCCCACCCCATCCCATCCCATCTCATCCCGGATCATCCATCCCATCCCACCCCATTCCAGAGCATGCATCCCATCCCGCATCATCCATCCCATCCCATCCCATCCCATCCTGGATCATCCATCCCATCCCATCCCATCCCATCCCGGATCATCCATCCCATCCCATCCTGGATCATCCATCCCACCCCATCCTATCCCATCCCATCCCGGATCATCCATCCCATCCCATCCCATCCCATATCATCCATCCCATCCCAGATCATCCCATCCTGGATCATCCATCCCATCCCATCCCATCCCGGATCATCCATCCCATCCCATCCCATCCCATCCCATCCCACCCCATCCCATCCCTGTTCTCTCCATCCCACCCCATCCCATCCCATCCCATCCCATCCCATCCCATCCCATCCCATCCCATACCCTCCCGGATCGCGTCCTCCAGGAGGGCGTCCCCTCGGGGTCCCCGGGCGGGGTCTCCCGGGAATGGGGTCCCTCTCGGGGCGGGATTGGGGTCGGAGCAGCCCGTTCCCAGGGCCAGCATGTCCGCGAAGATCCCGACCTTCTCCTCCTGCAGCGCCGCAGCCTGACGGTCCAGCTGCTCCCGGCGCTCTGGGAACGGGAGCGGGGTCAGCGGGAATGGGAACGGGGGGCTGTGGGGTCAGGGGGGTGGGCAGGGATTGGGGGGATGAGCAGGGATTGGGGGGATGAGGAGGGATTGGGGGGTCAGTGGGATCTGGGGGTGAGCAGGGATTGGGGAGCTGTGGGATCAGGGAGTGGGCAGGGATTGAGGGGATGAGCAGGGATTGGGAGGAGGAGCAGGGATTGGGGGGATGAGCAGGGATTTGGGGTGAGCAGGGATTGGGGAGCTGTGGGATCAGGGAGTGGGCAGGGATTGGGAGGAGGAGCAGGGATTTGGGGTGAGCAGGGATTGGGGGGTCAGTGGGATCAGGGGATCAGAGGGATTGGGGGTCAGAGGGATTGGGGGGTC